CTCTCTCTCTCTCTCTCTCTCTCTCACTCTCTCACTCTCTCTTTGAAAAAAAAAAGACAACATTAGAGTGGTAGTCATAAACTATAGTACCTTAAGAATGCATGAAAAGAAACATGACATGCAAATATGATAAAATGAAGTAAGATGGCTCAAAAATCCAATTTTCAACTTTTATTATAGGTCCACTGATTAGAATTTAATTGCACATGTAAAAAGATTTAAAGCTGTTATTTTGTCCATAATGTCATATGCTCCTATCATATTTAGTCCCCGAACTAGTTGGTCTCTTAAAGCAGCAGTAGTTAGCGATAAGTTATTTTCTGTTTTCCATTTCACAAATGCTTGGTAGGCTCTTTCATTTAATGGAATGAGGCTGAAAAAAATTAAAGTAACAATTATTTTAATTACTAATTAAGAACATTGTTTTAAATGACAGCTATTCAAATCAATTTACCAGATGAAAGTGAATCTGAAATTAATTGAGGAAGACAGACTGCATGAAGGTTTAGTACAGAGTTGGCATTTAGAAAGTGAATGTTAGCCCCATATTATGTCTTGCTTTCTTATAATAAGTCAACAATTTACATTTAATTCTCAAGATCTCAAAATAATAATTGTCAATTTTTCTTCACCATAAATTAGTACAATACTATACCACATGCTTTATAGCTGGAACTCACTTAATCCTCATGACTGTGCTCGTAGGTAACTGCATCTATTTTACCAGTTTAGAAAGTGTAGCACAGAGAAATTAAAGAATTTGCCCAAAGTCACAAAGCCATCTGGGATTAAAAGCCAAGCAGTTTGTCCTCAGGACGCTTGTTCTTAATTACACTATAGGCCTCCCAACATGGATCACAAATGCATAATAAACTAAAATCAATCTCTTACAGCAAATTAGAGTTTATGTTAAAATAAAAGTTTCAAAACCATGTGACATCAATATGACATAAATCAGAATATGAGACTAAACATGTACCAAATGTTGTCAATCATACTTACCTCTTTGTAGGAATATTATTTTCTGATTTTACCAGGTTTAGTTTTTGACACAAAAATTCAAAATTTGTTTCAGTAATATTGTTGGCAACTATCTTGAATGTCTTCTCTAAGATTTTCTCTATATTTGAATATAAAAGAAAAATAAGCTATTTCTTTGGAAAAATACACTCTATTTTGAGTTAATATTTACTTATTTTCTGTGCTTCTATGAAATATATCCAAAAATAAAAAATTAAGATACAGATCTAAAATGTACTGAAATTTGAACCATCTATTCCAAAATCTGAAAAATCCTACAACTTAAAATGCTTGTTTAAAGGATATTATAAGCAACTTCAAAGTGATTTTTTTTTTGGGTGGTACTGGGGGTTGAGCTGAGGGCCTCGTGCATGCAAGGCAAGTACTCTACCAACTGAACTATATCCTCAGCCCAACTTCAAATAACTTCTGTGTATTTTAATTCTTTCAAGATTTTTAAGTGAATTTGACTCCTTGCTTCAATTCTGACTCTTTTTTATGTGCTTATGTATGAACCACACATCTTGAGAAACAAAGATCATATCTGCTATAAATATGGAATATATATATACATGTATATATGTATACATATATATGCATACACCAAATATGTATATATGTGTGCCTATGTGTGTGTGTGTGTATAAAACAATGTTCTTAATTAGTAATTAAAATAATTGTTACTTTAATTTTTTTCAGCCTCATTCCATTAAATGAAAGAGCCTACCAAGCATTTGTGAAATGAAAATCAACATATTCACATCACATATTTAGTAAATGTTGGCTTAAATATTAGTGTTTTTAGTTGTTGGGGTTTTTTTTAAAAGCTTCCAAATACTTTGAACTAGATTCATTTTTTTGTTGATCATTGTACTATGAGAACTTTCAAGAACTAGAGCCAGGTGCAGTGGCATATACCTATAATCCCAGGAACTCAAGAGGCTGAGGCAGGAAGATCTCAAGTTTGAGACCAGCCATGGACAACTTAGTGAAAACCTGCTTCAAAAATAAATAAATGAAAAGAAAAATAAAAAGGAAAAAGAGAGCAGGGCTTATGGTTCAGTGGTAGACACTGGCCTAGTATGTGTGAGGCACTGGGTTTGATTCTCAGCACCACATATAAATAAATAAAGCGATGAGTATGCTTGTACAGGCTCCTGATTATGTAGGCAAGGTAGATGACAAAATGATTTGAGGGACAGTGTCAAATATTCAAATTCCCCAAATCTAGATCAATTGACTACTAAAAAAATTTAAAAATTAAAGAAAAGGAAAAAGGACTAGAGGATCTAGCTCAGTAGTACAGCACTCTGGGTCAATCCCCAGGACAAAAAAAAAAAAAGAGAGATTTCCCAGCCCCTATAATTATGTCAAATATGCTGTATTTTTAAAAATTATATACATAACTACTAATCCCTCAGGGTAGGTTTTATTCTAATGATATAAGAGAAAATTCCAGTACCCTGAGTAAAAATTTCAAAAAGGGACTGACTCCATGATTGATTAATTGCAAAATAAATATATATCTCATTGTGACTTCCTATCCTTGCTGTGTGCCAATCCTGCAGTATGAAGGCTCTCTGAACACAGAAAAAGGAGATGAATGTTGGGGGTTCTCTTGTTTTTTGCTGACTTTTGTTCAAAAGCCATTGCTTATAGACTATTGCATTATCTGCATAAAGACTAGATTGATTCTTCCTCAAGAATTTGAGAAATGGAGTATTAGCAAGGAGGTTCAATCATGTAACTTGAAAGCCATTCTCTAAAGTATGATACAAAATAGAAATACATTATGGATCCTTGGAAACCCTGAACCTTTATTTTATTTTAATAGCATCAGCATAAAATGACTCCTTTTTTATAATATTAATTAGCACAATCACCCTGCACAGCAAGTTAAAGACAGCTACTGTGACTTTTAATTTTGTCACTTCGATTTCTTCCATCAATGAGGTCTAAAGTCTTGCAAAAGATTCTGAATAGTAAGCCATGTACAAGAATGTAAAAGGTGGCATAAAAAGGACTATACCTTTTTAGGAACTATCTCTCTAGATGATGAGTATGCTTGTACAGGCTCCTGATTATGCAGGCAAGGTAGATGACAAAAGGATTTGGGGGACAGTGTCAAACATTCAAATTCCCCAAATCTGGATCAATAGTTATTGGTCTATAACAGTAAACTGGAGGACCAAAATCTGAATTGACTCTAAGGGGTGATAATGAGTCACAAAGTCAGAGAGTCCTAAGGAAAAGCCTAACGTCAGGAACCTAACCACAGGGAGAGAACTGGACAGTGAAGCTTCCTTCCCAGGTATTTGGAGAAACCAGCTCCATCTGGTCCAATGAGGGGGTGTTTAAATCAGGCCTGGTGGCGCAGGCCTGCAATGCCAGCAGCTTGGGAGGCTGAGGGAAGGAGTTGTTCAAGCCAGCCTTAGGAATTGCAAGGCACTAAGCAACTCAGTGAGACCCTGTCTCTAAATAAAATACAAAATAGGGCTGGGGATGTGGCTCAGTGGTCGAGTGCTCCTGATTTAAAGGATATGGACTTACTCTTGGAGATAATTAGGAAATACAATGGAGTGCTCCAGGACAGAGGGGATGAAGACTGTTCAAGTGGACCCCACACCAACTGACCGCAATGGAAATGATCTGTGGGCTTCCTTCAAAGCAAATATGTCTTTTAGAACAACTATCTGGTAAAAACAGATCAGAAATAAAGAAGTCCATATATGGATTCTCTGAGTATGGCCACAACCATAATGAAAAACCTACTGAAGGGCATTAAGGTGAAAGGATAAGTAACTGACCACGCCCTTAATAATATCACCATTTCTAATTAACGCTGCTCCCAGGGAGGGAAGTTAAGGGAAAAAATAGGGATATAAGGAAAAAAAGAAAATCAACATTTTTATACCTTATGTTATTTTTACCCCATATGGATGTCCCTGTACAAAGGCATGATGTGTATGGACCTGGATTAAATAATCTGAATTTTTAAAATAATATCCTAAACTTCAAAAAATGAAAATTTGTTAATGTCTTTGCCAGATTGATAGTCTCCAAAGTAGGCTATATTTTAATTCATAGATAAATACTAGAAAATTACTTACAAGAAAATCAATCACTCATCACTTACCATCTCTTTCATCTGCCCTCTGTAGATAGCTTGCAATAGTATGCAATTGTTTCCCTTTACAGATTTCCATGGGAGGTCTCATCAAAGGATTGTCATCAAAATTTATCTCCTCCAGGGAAAGAAGACTACAAATGGCACTGGGCAGATCTGTCAGATTATTTCCTAGTTAAATAAAAAGTATAATTAATTACACCTTTCTGTAAATTAAAACTATGGAGACAAATAACAACTATGTATGAAGAATCTATTGTCTTGGCAAGTATAAGAGGACTCTCACAGTGCTTGCAAGTCTTAAGTTCTTACTTATGCCCCTGTGCTACAAGTGAAAAGGAGGGAGTATAGAAACAGCAGTCATGCCTTTTTCTTCTGTAGGTGGTAAAATGGTCAGGAGTCCTTCCAAGGTAGTAAAGGACTTTATAGAGTAAGTATGTTGGTAATTTTTAAAATAAGCCTTTTATTTAGAATAATTTTAGATTTGCAGAAAAGCTATAGATATAGTAGTGAGTTCCTATATACTCCTCATTATTTTAATTTTTTTCTACCATTATTTCGCATTACCATATTACATCTATCCAATCTAAAAAATCAATACTGGTGCATTACTATTAATTAAATTCCAGACTTTTTGGATATATTAGTTTTTCCATCCATGGCCTTTTTTTCCAGAATCCATTCCAGGATACCACAATGCATATATTTATGTCTTTCTAGTCCCTCTGCTTTGTGACAGTTTGTCAGTATTTTTTTTTTTTATGACCTAACAGTTTTGAGGAGTACTGGTAAGGAAATTTGTAGAAGGTTCTATAGTTAGAATTTTCTGATACATTTCTCATGACTAGACAGCATTGTGGGTTTGGGAAAGTATACCCAAAGAGTAAAGTAACCTCATCACATTGTATTAGGGGTACCTGATTTCCACATGACATCACTAACCTCTGTCATTGGCTAACATAGTATCTACTGAGTTTCTCTAATGTAATGTTATGATTTATTTTTCCTTTCCATACTCTACTTTTTGAAGATGAGTCATTAAGGATTGACCATCCTCAATAGGGCAAAGGTATTAAGTTCCACCTCCCTGAATAAAATTTTTCAATACCACCTTAATTCAGTATTAAACTCACACAAAAAAGTAAAACTATAGTAACACAGAATTTATAATCACCTAGAAGACATAAAGTTTGCCTTTATATTATTTATATATTTTAAATATATATTATTTATAAGTATAAATTTAAAAACCTGTTTCCTTTTAGTGAAGAATGGTATTTAGAAATCAAGATGTGGGAGTCATATGGTACATGTACATAGAATTTTATAAGAAACTACTAGTTTTTCAGAGTGATTATATCATTTTGAATTCCTACCATCAATATATCAGTTGCAGTTACTCCATATTTTGACAGCTCTTGGTATTGTCAAGTTTTGTTTTAGCTATTCTAATAGCAATATTTCATTATAATTTGCACTTCTCTAACACTAATGAAATTGAGAATATTTTCTTGTGCATATTTTCCATTCATCTATATTGTTCATTATATACTGGTTCAAAATTTATACCAATTTTTTTGAATTGTTTGCCTTAATTTCAAATTACTTTTAAAAATTTATTCAGCAAATATTTTCTTTCAATCTGTGGCTTTTCATTCTCTTCTTTTTATTCTCTTCATAATACCTTTTGAAGAGCAGAGGTTTCTAATTTACTAAAATCCAACATATGAATTATTTTTATTTATATATGATGATTTTTTTTTTCATTGCTGGCAATTGAACTCAAGGCCAGGCAAACACGCTCTACCACTAAACTACATCCCCAGCTACATCCCCTGCTGTAGATTGTGTTTGTTTTTGTTTTTTTTAATATATAACATTATTTTATTTGTTTGTTTTTATGTGGTGCTGAGGATCGAACCCAGTTCCTTGCACGTGCTAGGCGAGCACTTTACCGCTGAGCCATAACCCCAGCCCCTGTAGATTGTGTTTTTAATGTTGTAGCTAAAAAAGCTTTGCCAAGGTTACAAAGATTTTTCTTCTGTTTTCATCTGGATGTTTTGTAGTTTTAGATTTTACATTTATGTCTGTGATTCATTTTGAGTTAATCTTTTTTTTATGGTGTATGGTATGGATGAGTTTTTTTGTGGTTGGTTTTTGTTTTATTTTCTTTAGGATTTTGGACACATATTTTTTAGCACTATTTGTGGAAAATATTGTTCTTTCTCCATTGAATTACTTTCGTGTATTTAAAAAATCAATTCAACACATATGTGTGGATCTATTTCTATACTGTGTTCTGCTCCATAAATATTCACCTCAAATATTGTCATGTCAATACCACACCATATTCACTAATGCTGCTTTGCATAAGTCTTGAAATCACATTATGTGAGTCATTCATTTTATTTTTCAAAATTGTTACAGATATTTTAATTTCTCTGACTAGACATATGTTTTAATATTTTTTAATTCTGATGGAGACTGAGAGCTGATCAAACTTGCAGAAAAAGAAACACTACTCCTTCCTGTTCTCTCTTGATGCTATCCTATCTAAAATAGCCACCAGAGTACTGTGCTTCCAATTGATAATTCTCCAATAGGCCAGAGAATTCTGGAGGATTTTTGTTTTTGTATTTTTTTTGTTTATTTATTTGTTTCTCATGCCAAAATAGCAGGTGAATGGAGTTTGTCCTACACTTGGACAAAAAAAAAGAAACTCCCTAAAATTCAGTAAAATGTTGTCATAATACAAATGAAGAAAACCTCAATGCAGGATTGAGTTATTGAGACTCATTATAAGTTGCTGTGAACGAAATGGTTATGAAAAGCCCCAATGCATAGCTGGATAGCTAGCTTTCTCTGGAAGTTCTGAGTCTCCAGGAGACCAATGTCAGTTTCATTACATCGGATACATATTGGTGCACCACGAGTAGGGTACTCTACTACTAGTACTGTTCGGCAAAAATACAAGCATTGTTTTTCATATGGAAATCCTCTAAATTTAATAAGGTGTGGAGCACTGTTTGTAAAAGCTATGTCCAACTAAAAGACATAATCTCATACTTAGCTGTTCACGTGATTAGTTGGTACAACCGCAGTGGAAATCAATTTGTTGAAATCTGATAAAGTTGAAGATGTACATATGCTCAGATTCAGCCACTCTAGTTATAACTTTATGCCCTAGAGAAACTGGTGCAGTTTATACTGAGAAAATGTACAAGAATGTTTGTAAAAGCAAACAAATTGGAAATAACTTAGTTGTCTACCACATGAAAATGGATTGTTATATAAACATTCAATTGGATATTACACAGCATAGAAGGAAATCTTATATATGTTAACATAGATTCATTTTAAAAATACAGTGAATGTGGGCTGGGGTTGTGGCTCAGCAATAGAGCACTTGCCTAGAATGTGCAAAGCCCTGGGTTCGATCTTCAGCACCACATAAAAATAAATAAATTAATTAAATAAACATATTATGTCCAACTACAACTAAAAAAATAAATATTAAAAAAAGGAATATAATGAATGTAAAATTCAAGTTATTAGAGTGATCTATATAGTAACAATTTAATACGATTTAAAAATTCAATAAGATAGCACTTTTTAAAAAAATATTTTTTAGTTGCCAATGGACCTTTATTTTATTTATTTAAATGCAGTGCTGAGAGTGCCTCACACATGGTAGGCCTGCGCTCTACTACTGAGCCACCACTCCAGCCCCAGGTACCACTTTTTTGATGGAGAAATGTTACTATAAAAATATGGCTGAAAAAAGATACACACCAATTTCAGCGTAATAGTTACTTATCATTTAGAAGAAGCACAAAAAAGTGTCAACTCTATGTCTTAACAATAAAAATGTCTCAAATATTATACATTGTTAATATTACAAAATGTTAGCATCCTGTATCTGGGAATATACATAAAAATTTATTATTTTCTGAAAGTCTGAAATATTCCATAATAAAAATTGTTAAGAAAACTATCAACCTAGTTATTCCTTATACTTTGGAAAATCTTTTCTGATATCTTTAGAGTGAATGATATGCTTTTTATTCTATGTCTTCTTAATTTTAGTTTATAATATAAACTATTATATTATATTGTTTTATATTATAGGGTTCAGGAGTGAGAGTAGGGAGCCAGCAGAGAAGGAAATGATGAGAAAGTGATGAACTAAGGGTTGTGTAGGTGTGTGTGTAGAGGGAGGGATGAAGTCAGGTTCAGAAAAAGAATACTGAATGACTGGGTATAAGCAGAGAAGACAAAACAGAAATGCAAAATGCCTTCACCTTCCCCAACTGGATTATAAGCTCATTGAAGACAAGAACTGAATCTTATACTTTGCTCTAATTTCTGTAGCGAGGCTAGCCATCTCCCTACACTGGGCACTTAATGTGTTATGTTGTCTGTCATTCTGTTTTTTGTTAGCAAAATGTATAACTCGGACATTAACATTCTACTGATTGATTATGACTGACACTTACCTTTCATATTTAGTTGCTTGAGATCTTTTAACGATAAAAAAGATGGTGGAAGAGAACTTATTTGATTGTTGTTAGCGTATAAAGTAACCAGACTTCTCAATTCCCCTATACTTTTTGGAATCTCGCTGATCGCATTATTTGATATATCAAGTTTTTTAAGTTGAGTTATATTAGACAGTTCATCTGGAAGTCTTGTTAACTGTAACAGATTAAACAATTATGGTTCATTAATCCATAAAGATTTGTATGACAAACATTTTCTGAAAATCAAATGCAAGGAGCGAGTTTTATTTTTTTGTTTTTGTCTTAGAAAGGAGATATTTTCATTCTGTCACAGATTCTTTGTGACTCCCCCTCCTAGCTAAAAATCCAAAAGATAGTGTGAGATATCCAAGTACCTCCGTAATCTGACCAAAGCTACCAGTTCAACCCTGTGACTGGCTAACCACCTTCTTCACTCTCCCAACTTTCAGTGTTCATTGCCTCCCAGTCCCTTCTTCTCTTCCTAAATCAGACCATGCTTTGGCTTCTTTTCTTCCTGAAGTCTGTCTCAACTACTCTGTTTCACATTTGATCTCTTTAATCCTTACTTTCATCATCTCCACTGTTTACTAGTCCCTTGTATGTTTTCCTTAGATCCTTAAATGACATGAAAGGTATGCTTCATACTTTTTTGTGTATGTGTTTCCAAGCACAATGCATTTTCAGTAAATGTTCAATAACAGAGTCACATAGCTGGCATTATGGCCCAGATAAAATTTCCTGTATGAAAAGTGTTGTGAAATAACAGTATATATCGAGATACTGATAAAACAAAGAAGCAAATATGCATATTTAGAAAGAATAAGGACATTGTGAATGCTTTTGTTCTATAGGTAAATAAAAGAATTTTGAATATGTAGATCCCTCATAGATACCTGAAAAATGAGGTTCGTAATAAATATTGTGCTAAGTGCACTTCCACATATGGAAGTATTCGTCTAAGGCACACTCACTGACTTTAAGAAGATTAAATTTTGCTCCAGGGAACAAAACATATACATGTGAAAAAATCAGGCAACAAATAGTCCAGTGCTAAAAATAAAGAATACAAGCAATAACAGGTATATGAACATTTAGAGACGGCGAATCAGTATAAATTAGAGAACTAAAGGAAAGCTTCAGGTAAAAGATGAAACTTGAATAGCCTCTTAAGAATGGAGGCTGGGGATATAGCTCAGTTGGTAGAGTGCTTGCCTCAAGGCCCTGGGTTCAATCCCCTGCACCACAAAAGAATGAATAGGATTGAAGTTACAGGACAGTTAAAGCAATACAAATATTATGCATAAAAATGGCAAGTGAGCTTAGGAGGTGGCACATGTCTGTAATCCCAGTGGGTTCAAAGCCAGCCTCAGCGAAAGCAAGGCACTAAGCAACTCGGTGAGATCCTGTCTCTAAATAAAATACTAAATAGATCTGGGGATGTGGCTCAGTGGTACCCCTGAGTTCAATCCCCAATACCCATCCCTCCCCACAAAAAAAGGCAAGTGAGAAGTTGATCCATAAGGAGATGTGATGGGAAGCAGAGGAAGATACATTTGGATAAAGAGCACTGAAACAGGCTATTGCCAGACTTGTTGGCTAGCCTATGAAGAAGAGGCTAGATCATCATAGGTAGAATTTCCTTCAAATAAAGATTCTTTAACTACTTGTTCAATATTTATCAGAAGAAGTGTCTGAGAACTATGTGAGGATAGAACTACTGTTAAAAGATTCCTGTTGGGCATCCTTATCTTAGCAAAATAAAAGCCCTTTAATTAACCTGAGGCATCTTCATTAGATGATTCTTAAAGAGATCATTGGTTAGATAAATTAATCATTTGGGCATTTGATAACTCAAGGGGGTAATCAAAATGATATTTTCAACCACATAGGATATTCTTATTGAGGAGTTTTTGTGATGTATATATATATTAATTACAAGAAATATATATATATTCTTTTTTTTTTTCCTATCTGGAAATCTTAGAAGTGATGTTGCAAAGATGTGGACTGGTGCCTTTGGCAACCACACACTTTAAGTAGGCATCCTGGATTCCTAAAAGGCAGTTATCGTACATTAAGAAAAGTTCTCTGGAATGAAGTCTGATAGTTTCCACAAGGCCTGCTAACAAGGAGATTGCGTCAGAGAAGATAGCCAGGAGGCTTCTGGTGTAATCGAGGCATGAAGCAAGTGATAAGCTCAGGCCAGGATAGAGTCAGTGGCAAGGAAATTGGAAAGCATGGGACTAGAGCATGGGTCAAGGCAGCACCAGCTAGATATGGGGTTGTGTGCAGGTAATTGGCAGCCTGTGTGGTGAGATTAAGGAGTTAGTAGAAAAGAGAATTTTTAGGACACAACCTTGGAGAAACAAGTAAGATCCAGGAGGAAAGAGTGAGAGGATTATAAATTACTCAAAATAATTAGCAGATGATTAACAGATATTCATTCCATTTTAAAGGTCCTGAGCTACATCCCCCGCTTATTTACTTATATATTTATTTATTTTTCAGAAAAAGTACTTGGAACTAGGGTTTTTAGGAACAGACTTTGGGGAAATCTTGATTTGTATACTCATACAGAATTAACAATAGCAGAAAATTGCTGTGGTTACTGAGATCTTAAAGTATATCAGTAAATTTTTGATTTTAAAAAGTATTTCCAGGGCTAGAAGTATAGCTCAGTGGTAGAGAAGTATAGCTCAGATTGCACAATGCTCTGGGTTCAATCCCCACTGCCCTCCACCAAAAAAAAAAAAAAATATTTCCATAAAATTTACTCTTTAAATATAAGTAAAATGAAATGCTAAACTATAAAAACATGTCCTAAAAATTCTTCAGGGAGATCTTCCTAAGGGAACAGTCAAGTTGAATCAACATATGCCAGTAGTTTTATTGTGATAGAATGTGCAATGATTTTTTTTTTTAAATTTTCTCCACTTTAAAGGTTTTCAACAGTCTGGGGCTGGGGCTCAGTGGGGAGCACTTGCCTAGCATGCGTGAGGCACTACATAAAAATATAGAAATAAAAATAAAGAAATAAAATAAAGGCATTTTGTATATCTACAATTACAAAAAAAAAATTTTTTTTAAAGATTTTCAACAGGACAAACAGATGTGACTCAGCACTAATCCATCCGGCTGAAACAACTGGTCAGCCCTTCTGATCCTACGGAGGTAAATGCCAACCGAGCCTTCATAGGTAGTGGCCACAGGTTTGAAACGGGGCTTGGGAGAGACAATAAGGACCTGCCTGTAGCATTGGTCACCCAGCAAAGGGAAACGAACTGTCGCCATTTGCAAGAGATACCACCATGGCAGACAACTGACGTCACCAGACTGCATCGGAGGAGATAACTTCATTGAAACCTGCGGCGACAGGTGTGGAATCCCCTAGCCTTCCCTCTCCACACATGGGGAAACCGTAAGGGCCCCTCCCTGCTCTCCCTTGAGTGCGATAGCTGGACCAAGGGAATCAGAAGTGGCGCGGGAACTCCCGGCTACCGCTCCCACCAGTGCTGACAACTGAGGTCTCTTGCACCAGCTACTGGGGGC